ATGAGAGATGAGGGAGTGATAGAGCCTTCATCGTCACCATGGTTATCTCCGGTGGTCCTCGTTCGTAAAAAGAACGGTACCACGAGGTTTTGCATTGACTTTCGAGGGTTAAATGCGGTGACTGTCGCCGTTAGTTATCCTATGCCTCGTGTTGACGAACTCATCGACGAGCTGAGAGATACGTTTTGGTTTACAGTTCTCGACGCTAAAAATAGGTATTGGTCGATTTCTGTAGCGCCTGATCGTCCGAAGACCGCGTTTTCCGACGGACATCGCCCATGGCAGTTCAGACGATTACCATTTGGTCTTGCTACGGCCCTTAGTACTTTTCAAAGAACCGTTAATATGGTATTATCAACGGTACTAAGGCGACATACGGTAGCTTACCTTGATGACATTGTTGTGCACAGATCCTCATTCGAAGAGCATATAGAGCATCTAACAGTAACGTTACAGCTTCTAAACAAAGCAGGGTTTAGATTGAATCACGAAAAATGCGAGTTTGCAACACGTGAATTTAAATTCCTGGGTTTCAAGGTCACCCCAGAGGGATTTTACCTGACCCTGCCAAGGTCATTGCCATAAATAACATGTCTGTTCCCCGTACTGTCAAAGAGGTGCGCAGATTTCTTGGCTGTAGTGGTTATTTCAGAAAACACATTCCCCATGCTGCTGTCGCTGCCCCACTTACAAGGCTCACACGTAAGGATGCGAAGTTTATCTGGGCAAATGAGGAAGAAAAGGCATTCAACCTCCTTAAACAATCTCTTGTAGAAGCTCCTGTCTTGAAGAAACCAAACTTTACTTTGCCATTTCAGGTTCATTGTGATGCCTCACAGTTAGGATTAGGAGCCTGCCTTATGCAGAGATGCAGTAGCTTATTTTTCCCGTAAACTTCGAGGTCCCGAAACAAGGTATCCGGCGATAGATATTGAGGCACTCGCTGTGATAGAAGGGGTTCGTGCTTTTGACCACTACCTGTATGGCAATAAATTCCTAATATTCACGGACCACACACCACTAACGTTCGTCTTCCATCGTCGTACGAAATCTCCGCGGATGTCGAAGTGGTCCTATGAGTTATCTAACTACCAGTATAAATTCTTATACAAGAAAGGTTCGTCTAATCATGTCCCTGACTGTCTTAGTCATGTTGCTAACATTGATGCCAGTGCTCTTGATCCACAGAATGTTCGTGATGCTCAGCTGAAGGATCCGCTATGGCGAGAGGTCATTCGGTACCTGGAGGAAAAAGCTGTGCCACGACGAAAGCTACCTCTGCCCTTAGAAGAGTTCGAATTAATTAATGGGATTCTTTATCATGTTCGACACTTGCTGGACCTTCTCTTGCACCAGCTGGTCATCCCTCGAGAGCTACGTAATGTTGCTCTATAACTGGTTCTCTCTTCACCTCTTGGAGCACATTCAGGAGTCTACAGGACATACTGTAAGATCCGTGATTTATTTTATTTTCCCAACCTTCTCAGGGAGACCAGACAGTTTGTGCGTTCGTGTGCAGTATGCCAGCGGCGCAAGGGACCAAGCACCTATGGCGAACGCTCCAGATGTTCATGTGCCACTTGAAAGAATAAGTGCCGACCTCATAGATCTCCACAGCTCCACCAGTGGAAATCAGTATGTACTTTCGATCGTCGATCACCTGACTCGTTACCTTCAGCTCATCCCTCTGCCTTGCAAGAGTGCAGAAACTGTGGCTGAGGCTTTCATTAATAACTTCGTGACTATCTTTGGTCCACAACGTGTTATACAGACAGATAATGGTAGTGAATTTTGCAACCGTCTATTTAAACAGGTATGCAGTATTATCCAGACAAAGATGTCATTTTCGACGGTGTACCACGCACAAGCCAATGGTATGGCTGAAAGGACTAATAGAGTGGTAAAAGGCGCGCTGGCAACTCTGACGGAGAGCATCAGAGAACAGCCGATCTACCTCATGACTGGTCATCACGGCACTTCCCCCTCGGGCCCACCAACGACGTCACGATTGCAGCAGATTCGGCGAAGAGGTTTCAGGAACGTCTTCAGGTGGCGAGTTCAGTGGCAGTGAAAACTTCGCGTCGTGCACGAGAAAGTTGGGCTCGCATCTACAACAAACGCGTCCGCAAGCACTTCCAGCCTAATGTGGGGGTCCTTGTCTGGGTGAAGGTACACCCAGGGCACCGTCGTGGTCCAGGTCGCGCCCTTGCTGACCGATGGCGCGGTCCCGCTTTGAGACGTACGTTTTGAATATCAAATATGTATATACATATATATATATATATATATATATATATATATATATATATATATATATATATATATATATATATATATGTATATATATACATATATATACATATATATACATATATATATACATATATATATATATATATATATATATATATATATATATATATATATATATATATATACATATATATACATATATATATATATATATATATATATATATATATATATATATATATATATA